CACCTGCAAGTTGAATACAGCTGGTAACAGAACAAGTGTTTGAATGCGTACATTAACAGGTTTATGATATCACTGCAAGACACCATCTGACTTTAATTACATTTGTCTCGAGTGTTTCGTCAACTTAATGTGTTGCTTAAAATAATACTTCTGCATACAGTATGTGACACTGTGAGTGTTGCACGGCCAGATACGGCTCAGCTGACTCAGATAAGGAGATATGACACATTATGATGTGATATGCCTCGGACTGTACTTAATGTTACTCTGATCCGGTTACTTATGTTGTGGCAGATATTTAATTAAGCTTCTTAACGCTAATGTTATAATAGTCAGATTGCTCTGAAGATGGGAGGTGATATTCTATTAATGTTCAGGTTCACACAGTCGGTGATTTTTGCCGGCCGTCTTTCCTGCAACGGCAGCTTTTCTGTATTTCCTTTCTCCTGTAATATGACTTGATCGCTTTAAACTCCGCACATTGAGCTCTGATTGGTCAGCAGGGAGTGCTTTCACTGAGTTGAGCTCTCAGCCTGCAACCTAACCTGGTCCCGACCAGGTTAGCCGCACAGCCTAAGTTACCATGGAGATCTAGCCTGCTAAAAAGAGAACCAGCTTCGTAGGACCGGAAACCCAGAGTTTTCCCTGAAGTTAGCCGGCTAAGCGAAAATCCTGCTTCGTAGTATACCCCCTTGGAGTAGGTGATGTTGAAATCAAAAACAAGTGCTCTTCAAGAACAGGGCAAGTAGTCTAGTAAAAAAAAAAAAAAAACACAGCTTACTTTTAATGGAAGTCAATGGTATATGTTGGCAATCTAAAAAGCATCCAAGGCACTCTGATTGTAAGTTTGGAATACTTTAATAATAGAAAGCTAACCAACCATTTTATGATAAACAAGTCTTAATTAGGATATAAAGATGTGCATTTTCAGACTGCCATCCAATACCAATGACTTCCATCCAAAGTAAGGTGGACAGTCACTGTTTTTATGAATGTATACTCTAAGACAGACAAGCTTTTTTTGTACCTTTGGGAAGTCCCTAATAATGGGGCGGAGCCTGCGAGCTAGTTCAGGCAGTCTACTCGAGTACCAATGATACATTAACACGTCACGCACCTCGTCCCTCCTTAATGCTGCTGCTGCTGCCACTGCTGTGTTCACTTGCTGCTGCTGCTGCTGCTGCTGCTGCTGCTGCTGCTGCTGCTGCTGCAAGTCATGTTCATGTTCCTGCTGTCGTGTTTCATGTTGCTGCTCGCCTGCCCCCCCCCACCACCCCATCTTCCACCTGTAGGCTCGGGGGATAGTTATCTAATCATCACTCAATGTTCTTTATACATCTGTGGAGTGATGAGGCCCGAGCCTAGACGCCAAACTCAACTATATGCCGCTTCTAATAAACATATTAAGAAACACGCGAGTTGTCTGACTGAAATGTCTCTTTTTCTAAATGTAGCCAGCTGATTGTCTAATTCCTCGCTTTTTTGATATTCACTTTTTTGATATTCACTTTTGATACATTATCCTGTAAACTAAAGAACAAACTATTAAAGCCTCACTGTACCTTGGTGCCGCTCTAATGTCCGCTCTCTGTCCTCGCAGCGGTCAGCAGAGGATATGGACTTCTACTGAACATCGCTTCGCCCACTGAGAAAGTGCTGAGTCGGTCTTTAGTCAGCGTGTGTTTGATGTCCTCGATCATCTGCACCTCTCTTCTGTCTCCGTTGATGCTCGTGTCTGACGGTTGGGGGTCAATGTCTTTCCGTTGGGTCTCCTCTTGACTTCCATCGTCAGACGTTGTGAAATCGGTTATTTCTTTGACTTCTCGACTTTGTTCACTTGTTTCCTCGGTATCTTTTGTTTCATTTGCCTTCAACTTGGAAAGCCCTTCAGGAATCGTTGAACACTCGCCCTGCTCTTCTGTCTTTGATAACGACAGAAGATCTTTCTCCTCTTCCTTTGCTTGTTTTTCATTCAACTCTGGACTAGTTTTCTCCTCACCCTCACCTCTGCCGCTCGTTACTGAATGCTGAGTCCCTGATAGGCTTTCCACTTCAGTTTTGGAAACATCAGTTTGCTCAGTGTCATCCTGCATTAAACCTTCTTGCACTTTATCAAGAGATCGCCTACTTCCTGTCTGGTCCTCTGACCTCATACCTTGCCCGCTCACAGACTCTTTATCACTCTCTGGCTGCACTTTAAAGTCCTTTACTTCAGTCTCCTCCATTTGCTGAGAGTCTTTCTCACTCTGTTCTCCGGCTTCATAGTGAGCTGAAGATTGAGGTTCCTCTTTGCTTGTAACCCTTTCCTCATTTACACTTTGAGATATCTCTGCCATCATAAGTGGACTCTCTGCTCTCGCCTGTTCTGTAGATTGTGTTTCCTCTTCGTTAGCGTTAAGTTGAGCGTCTGGTGATTCCTTTAGGTCTTCTAACGGTTCAACAAACGTCTCAAAGAACTTGGATGTTTGATGCTTGGTTACCCAGTTTGTGACCATCTCTGCGTTGTTTTCTCTTGTTAGTACTTCTGGAGTTTCTTTAACTTCTGCTACGCTCTCCTCTGTGTTGTTTTGTGTCGGGGACTGTGTTTGAGGTTGGAGCAGCACGCTGGCTCCTTCCTCCGAGGCCTTGCTCGCCTCCTCTTCCGTGTCTGCTCCGTTTTCTCCGTCAGTTGCAGAGTGATCAGCAGGATTTTCTCCCGTGTGTTTTTCAGTGTTAGAGTCAGGCTGTGCAGTGGATACCTCTACAGCTGTGTGTGTTGGAGATTGTGCCTGGTCACCTGACGAAGCAACCATCACCTCACTGACATGACTCGACACATTATCGCTCTTTTTCACCAACTCTGAATCTCTGTTTTCACTGTCAGGCTCAGATACATTTCCATTTTCATCTTGTTTTGATCCCTCCTCCTCGTCGTTGTTTCTCTCGTCTGATTTCGATTCATCCTTCGTTTCCATGCCAGATGTGTCCGGGTCGTCGTTTTGAGTGGATTCCTCTTGCTTTGCCTCAGCCTCAGTTTGTGCCACATCAGGAGCTTTTTCAGCGTCACCTTCAGACTTCACAGTTACTTCCTTTCCCTCTGTGCTCTCCCCCTCTGTGGGCTCCTCTGCTTTTGTCTCAGCATTCTCGTCTCTTTTCACGTCATTTTCGCCGTCAGTTTGAACCTCTCCTTCTCCCTCCTGAGTTTTCTTCTCGGTTGACATCTCTCCATTTTCAACGTCAACTTCTCCCTTTTCCATGCTGTCATTTACTTCTTGAATTTGTTTTTCAACCTCCTCAGTTTCCATTACGTCGTTTGAAGTCTCTCTCTCCATGATCTCAGACGTCTTTTCTTCTCTGTCTGCAGTCTCTAGAAGTTCTTCTCTGTCTGCAGTCTCTGGAAGTTCTTCTCTGTCTGCAGTCTCTGGAAGTTCTTCTCTGTCTGCAGTCTCTGGAAGTTCTTCTCTGTCTGCAGTCTCTGGAAGTTCTTCTCTGTCTGCAGTCTCTGGAAGTTCTTCTCTGTCTGCAGTCTCTGGAAGTTCTTCTCTGTCTGCAGTCTCTGGAAGTTCTTCTCTGTCTGCAGTCTCTGGAAGTTCTTCTCTGCCTGCAGTCTCTGGAAGTTCTTCTCTGTCTGCAGTCTCTGGAAGTTCTTCTCTGTCTGAAGTCTCTGGAAGTTCTTCTCTGTCTGGAGTCTCTGGAAGTTCTTCTCTGTCTGCAGTCTCTGGAAGTTCTCCTCTGTCTGTAGTCTCTGGAAGTTCTCCTCTGTCTGGAGTCTTATCACTTCCCTCCTGTTTCTTTTCAGATCCTTCCTCATCTTTATCCTTCTCAGATTTGTCATCGATGTTATCTTTCTCTTCCTCATCCTTTCCCCCACCAGCTGCTGTGTTCACCTTTTCACTCTCAATAGCTTTATCTCCCTTTCCCTCTGATTCTTCCTCATCCCTTTTATTCTTGGCACTTTCACCATCTTCTTCGTCTTTCTCTGTCTTTTCTAATTCATCTGCCTTCTCTTTATTTGCAACTTCCTCTTCCTCACTTTGGGATTTCTCTGCCTGCTCTTCATTTGCATTTCCTTCATCCTTAAAGTCAACTTCAGTCCGCTCTGAAATCATTTCCTCCTTTTCTATCCTTTCTTCCGTCTTACTCTCATCCTCCTCCTCTTCTTCAACGCCATCTTTACTCTCCTCTACTGCTGAAGCTTCTTTAATGTCATCTTTACTACTTTCCTCTTTAGCATTCTCCTCACTTAAATATGCACTTTTTTCCACCGTGGTGTCTCCGCTGCCCTCCGTGGAGCTGCTTGAGTTCTCCGCTGTGCCTTCAGTCTCTGCGTCCTCGCTGCCTCCCTGCTGCCTCGTCTCTGTGTGGGTTACAGGTGCCTCTTCACAGCTGAGGGCCTCTCGCTCCTCTGAGGGCTCTGCTTTCATCTCCTTTGTCTCGCTGGCTGTCATCGCCTCTGCATCATCCGGCGCTGCTGTCTCATCAGGGATTTGATTCGGCTCTGATACCGATGACTCATCCTCCTCGCTTCTTTTTGCCCCGTGTCCCGTCTCGTCGAGCCGCGTGTCAACCTCCACGTCATTTTCCTCCTCGGTTTCTTTGTCTTTCTCTAGAGCCTCCTCATTGGCTGATTTAGCTGATTCTTGATGTCCTGAAGTCTTGTCTTCCTCAGCCATTTCCTCTTCAGATACACGATGCAGAGCTGTAGCTGCATCTTCTGCCTCCTCTGATTTAACATTCTCTGTGTTTTTGTCCTTTTCATTTCCCTCTTCGATTTTCACATCTTTAGGAACATCTTTTTTCTCCTGGGGTTCCAGTTCAGATTCTTCCTCTTGTTCTTTTGGGTCAGACGTCTCTTGTACTTCTTCAGCTTCACAAACAGCCTCTTCCTCACATGTTGTCTCCTCCACAACGGCCTGTAGCTCTTCTGTCAAGGTGATAGTTTTCACTGCAACTGCATCTGAGAACACAATGCAGAGATTGTTTAGGGATGTTTTTATTTTGCTGCAGAAGTGGATTTATTTGAATTAGAATGTAGGGTACCACTTTACAATAAGGCTACCCTTATAAAGGGTTTACGAATAGTTTGTAATTCATTTATTAATTAGGTTGTGAACACATTAGAAGTCATTAATAAGCTTTTATAAGACATGAGATAAACGGGGCAACTGTGACCTGCTGCTTGCCAAATAATGAGCCCACATGTATCTGTACTGCTAAGCCTTATTAGAAATGGTAGTAACTCATTAATAAATGGGAATGTGTTTCACACTTTACAATAAGCCTCCCTTTTGGCAACTATAAATGTTAGTAACTCGTAAATAAATGGCCATAAAGAGATGACAAGAAACATCAAGATGGAAGGGGGGGAGAATCAACTCAGTGAAAAACAGATACCAAGGATGCTGGCTGATGAGAAAGACGAAGTAAGCTAGGTCAGTGCTTTTCAAAGTGGGGGCCCTGACCCCCTGGGGGGCCGCCAGGGGGTGCCAGGGGGGTCACGCAAAGTTAGATTTTTTTTTAGATGTTATTAATAATTGCATATCTGTCAATCTATGTGTCCTTTGATGCCAATCTTTTAATATTTTTTATTTATTAATATTTTTGTTTTTAAATCACACGACCGCCCTTCAAGCAAATCAGAATGGAGCTGCTGCTACTGAGAGTGAAACTGAGTATCTGCTCAGCTTTTGGAGCAAGTGAGAGCTAGTGAATATTTCGCTCTGCATCTGGATGAGAGCACGGATGCAGCAAATATTACCGTCGAATATTAGATATCATATTAAAAAGGCATAAATAGCTTTCAAAAATGATAAAAATATATGTTAATTGTTCATATTACTGTTCAAAATTATATAATATTATAAAGACAGAAATCACTTTAAAAATGCTTTAAAAATATGTTTACTGTTGATATTACTGTAAGAATGTTTATAACAGACGACAAAATGAATGTAATGAATGACAAAAAAAATGTTTAGAAGAATAACTGATTATTAATTATTAATACAAATATATATTAAGAAAATTTATTAAGCTGTATGATTAATTTGTCATATTTTCCATCATAATGTACTCATCATTTAAAAAAAAAATTGCAACAGGGGGGTCCCCGCCAGAGAATAATTCTATATGGGGGTCCTTGGCATGGCAAAGTTTGGGAACCCCTGAGCTAGGTAGCCAATATAAGGCTTCGTCATCTTGCCAAATAGTGAGCCTGTGTTGATGTTAGAACTGGTTTATAAATGGTTCAATGATTAATAAACTGTTTACAACATAATTAATAACCTAATGATAAACCCTTTATGAATCCTTTATAAGGGTAGTCTTATTATAAAGTGGTACCGAATGGGGATCTGGTACCCTTGCTGTCCGGTTCAGGGCCTTTCTCTGAGGACTCCTCCTCCTCCTCCTCGGTGCTGGTGTCGCTCAGCTCGGGCTCGGAGCTGCACTGGGACTCCTTCAGGATGGCTTCTGCCAACTTCTCCTGCACAGATTTAGCTTGGGAGAGAAAAAGAGACATGGCACACACAGGGATATAAGAGCATGTTACAAGCTAAGCATAAACTACTGTGAGCACTCATAGTGACGATGTCAGAATGTTGTAAGGTAAAAAATGAATAAGTATTTGAATAATGCAAAAGGAATGAGAGAAATAAGCCAACAAATAGACGTGTAGCCAATAACACCAGAATGTCTTTAATCTTTCCAAGTGTAAAGCAGAACATGCAAAATAATATTCAACGTGCACAGAAAAACAACACACAAACATTCAGTACACAACCAAAATGGAAACACAATGTCTTAAAACATATATTTTTAAAACTATTTTATGTACATGTTAGAATATGAACTCTTAGGATTTCACTTTTGGAGCACACTTTGGTTGGGAAAACCTATAATTCAGTTTAATACTACATTTACTGTACATATGAGTTTGATATTCACAGCCATTAGAAAGACAAACATATTTGTTTGGGCACTCAACACAGCTGCACATTTTGAAACTTGTGCAATATGAAATGTGTGTGTTTTTCCATCAGTGGCAGCTTTCACCTCCTCTCTGATTGCATGTTGACCCCCACAGAGTCCTCCCTTTGTTTTTAAGCTATATACTGTATATTCATTAATTTATGTCACATAATTTGAGCTTGAACCATATCTACAAATGCAAGCAGAAGTATTGAAACGCATGTCTTCAAAACCGGCCTTAAGACCCTCTTTCGGCAGGCCTTCCAATAAACTTTGAGCAGGGTACACCTGGAGTACTGCCATTTCTATCGCTATCTCCGATTTTTATTTAATTTAATTTCTATTTATTTTTATTTTTTTTGAATCTCTCAAATTGTATCAGTGTCCTTTGTTGTGAAGCGCTTTGAGATTTGTCTTGGCAGAGGAGAAGCACTAATGTATATAAATTAAATGTATTATTATTATTATTATTATTATTATTATGTAAAAAAGCTAACAGAAGTTAAAGAAAGATTTCTAAAATGTAAAAATGTAACCCAGAGTGATAAAAAAAAAACAGCAACAAAACAAATTAACATAAAGTGGAACATACAGAAAATCACAAAGAAATCACGCAGAAAAAAAAAAAAGAAGTAATTTTTCCACCATCTCATTTCACAACAACGTCATTATGTTACTTTAAATCTCACAACATGAAAATACTGTGATAGTTATTTGGCTGTTGTCAGTCTACGGTAAATAGAGCAATACGTGAATGACTGGTTGAGATAACAGTGGAAAAACCTCCATAAAAGATGGACTGGTCCAATTCCTCACTCCAGAGTTAGACGTGTTCCCACTCACCCCTCTCCTGCTCCTGCTCCGCTTTGCTCTCATCTACCATTTTCTCCTCGTCTTTTTCTGCTGAGATTTCTTCACTTTGTTGATTCTCATTGGCCGAGGGGACACTTGTTTCACACACTTCTATCTCGGTACTGTCCCCCGCAGTGTCCAGTTTGTCCGAGTCTTTAGGCGCAGCAGGTATGGCCTCCTCAGTGGCAGCTTCTAGTGGAACAGCACTTTCCTCCTGGTGGACTTCTTTAATGTGTTCCTCAGCATCGCTCTCTTCCCGCTCACTGTCTGAGGAGCTGGAGCCTGAAGCCGACTTTATGTCATCTGTGCAACAAAGATGGAGCATTTCATATTATTTTAAAAACACTTTCTTAACGTCCATTTTATACTGTTAATACATAGAAGTAGCAGTTTTTCCTCAAATAGCGAAATTCTACTTTTAAAAAGATGTTTTTCTTGCTGACATTTTTTATTTGTGTTTGTAAAGCATTTCATCTAAATCTAGGTTCTACATGTTAACCAGAGATATGTGATTTCCTCTAGAGATATTACAGAGTGATTCTGTTTTGCTTTATGAAAAGAAAAAGTAAATCTCCCAGTTACTTTTCTTTATCTTAAAAGATGTGTTGGAACAAGATGTTTCGCCCACCTTCCCTCTCGTCGTCCTCGGTCTCAGAGTCGTCTCCCTCTAAAGCCCGGCTTTCAGTTTCTTGAGAAGGAGATGGGGATTTCTTCACTTTTACTTCAGCATCTTCCACAGGGCCCTCGTCATCTGCTTCAAAGTCTTCCTCATAATCTGAAGAGGAAGAAAATGCTTTGAGAGTCGCTGAAGAAATAGAAGTATTTATTTCATATTGGTTTCATCCATACCATCTCTGACTTGGTCCTCCTCCGCTGCCGTTTCCTCTTTGACTTCAGTCTCCATGTCCTGAGGTCGGCTGGTTTCACACTCTGACTCGTTGTCTGCAGTCCTCTCTGTCTCCATCACAGGAGCCTCCTTCAGGCTGGACACTGACTCCTCTCTTACTCCATCATCTTTGACTCTCTTTGGTGGAGGAGTGGGCTTCTTGTCCAGTCCCATTGCTATGATGCACCTGAAGAAGTTAGCATTGTAAACTGTAAACACTCAGTTGAGGAATATGTCAATATTTTGAAAGATGTTCAAGTTAACATCAAGCTTAAAGGAAACAGTTGGTGTTTTTTCTGGCTTTTTAAAAAATATATCTTTTAATATCTGTCTGTCTAGCTGACAAATTCTCCTTTGTTTAACAACTTCCATGTCATGTGACCCATTGACTGCAGTTAGAATTGTAGGGCAGAATTGTATTACTACACTGAACCAGTACAATTGGGTTTTGGGGCTTCTTTACCCACAATGCAACTTGACTGCTGACACTTCAGTAAGGGAGTTCGGTGTGTTATAGTACTAGCGGCTTATTTAATTGATTGTACTTTTACAACACAAAGGCCTTCTCATAACTGTATCACAAATTGAGTTGACGGTGTGTCTGTTAAAAGAGAGGCCCTACTTGTAGCACGGAGAAGCCCCCTCCACTCCGCAGAAGCCAAAGTGTCCGTGCCTGCCGCCCAGTCGTGAGCCCTTCCTGTGTTTGAACTCGCAGCAGGAGCTGAGCCGCTCCACCTGCAGCCCGTTCAGGAAGAAGGTCAAGCTGAACGGGAAACCTCGGTGCCGCCTGGAAATGAACTGGAAAGTCTCTGAGGGAGAGATTGAGGATGTGGATGAGAGGAAGGAACATTTTCAACATCAAAATATGTCTTAAACACAGTGAGAATGGATACTCAACTAAATTAAAGATACAGAAACAATACATTTAAAGTTATTCCATGGAGTTGCTGGCCCCATAGTGGAGTTAGTCTGTTTGCCTAAAGGTTGTACACACAGACTGTATGTTATCTATATGACCTCCCTCATGAGATTTGCTCTTATTTGTGTACACGAACACACTTATCTAACACACACACTGACCTCCCTCTCGTAGCTTGCCCTTGTAAACACACAGGTTCTCTCCTCCACAGTGCTGCTGAAACACTTTGACCTCATCCCTCATGTCGGTCAGGTCATGAGAGAGATGCACCGTTTTGCCAAAGTATATCATGTTCACACGCACTCTGCTCTGGAGCACAGAGCTCCTCAGCATGGGGGGGTCCTGGAGGGGAGAAAAGGGCAGGTTGGGATCAGTTAACGACATCATACTTTCTCAGTGGACAATTAAATACATTTAAGTCAGTAAGAGATTCCTTATGTTGTTAAATTATTACTTTTGATTTTAATAAATTGGGTTTTCTTTGCAGCCTTACTGTCACCACTGTCTTAACAATAGTCTGTGACTAGAGGTGAAGGAAAAAAAAAAGCTCACGGCCCCTGTATGCTGTTCTGTGTTGATATTTCGGCAAATATTAAACATACAGAATAAAGATAATCACGGTCAAATACATTGTAAACATAAAATAGAGAATACTGCTAGGTCTTGCAGAGACCGAATGAATCCAAAGGGGCTGTTAGTTTGATGTGGAAGGTGTTGTTGCCGGGGAAAACGTAACAAGACACACAGACCTCGTAGGCGTCCACTCCGCTGGAGGCGGTGGTGGGACGCAGTCTGCGGCCTCGGAGCGTCCCGCTGGGAGTGACCTTCACCCCCGTCTCTCTCCTCTTCGTGGAGGGAGGCACCGGGGTGACGAAGTTGTTGATGACGGGGAGGCAGTAGGGTGAGATGCCACGGGGGGGCTCGGCTGTGGTCCGATATCTCCGGGACTCCTTCTCCATCTGGGAGAGAAGTAGAAAGGTTTAGTGTGTGCTGTTGTTGCAGCAGAGCAATGACAATGTCTGTGTGTGTGCCTGTAAAGCAGACAAAGGTTTAATAGAGAGGAGTTTGTCCTAAGCTGCGTTCACACTTTGTTTAGTAAAGAAAAGTAATGTGGCTTTCTGGTATTAGCACAAACTATTTTACTGAGCCTGTCAGGCACTTGTACAATATGTGTATGATACAACTCTATTTTGTATCTTTTACCACTCACTGTGCAACTGCAAGAGTTCTGCAACTAGTTTCCAAAGACAGGTGATATTGATCTAGAATCTGATTTTGTCCATACAGGAAAACTGTCATGCAAACTCTCTATGCAGGAAGGCAGATGAATGAGTGAAGGAGTTCTCATGTGTCGCGGCCTCACAGTGCTGTTGAGCGTCTGCTCGTTCTCATTGGACGACTCCAGCAGTCTGTAAGGGGAGCTGCGTCTGAGCGAGGCGGTGGTGCTGTTACTGCCGATCGGCTTCAGACGCACCGGCCGCTGCATCTTCCCCGGAGCCGTGTTGGGTCGAGACGAGCCCGGCTGCAGCACCGTGACACACACACACACACACACACACACACACACACACACACACACACACACACACACACACACACACACACACACACACACACACACACACACACACACACACACACACACACACACACACACACACACACACACACAAAGACCAATTAAGTACAGTGTAAATGTAGTTTAATGCGCTGGATAGAAACGTGTACATTCAAGAAAGTCCTTAGAGTGGAATTATGTTTGATTTGCTGTGCTCTAGTAAAACTAATAGTATCAATTAAACATACACAATTAAGAGCATCCCATGTTTGAGGCCAGCATAATGGAAGGAATAATGCTGTTAATTACATAGTATATGTCAATTTTCTCTTAATATATTGAAATTAAGGGGTTCATTCTTGGTGCACTTAGTACTTATTTTGGAGTTTTCCATCATTTGGTTTTTCAATGTGCTTTATGCAGCTTATTTGCATTTATGTTTGCAATTATATTTTCTTTTCTCATTAATCTTTGCTACAAAGAATGAATGGTATGTGTTGGAGGCAAGCATAACTGGAGGAAGAGTTGTTTTATTATTCTACATTTGGTATTCCTCATATCAAATACATCTGTATATTTTCCTTTATTTTTCATACCATACATAATACAGTGTGCGGAGGTCGTACACCATCTAATATATTGTTACACCTTGTTGTGGTGTATTGATTTCATGTAATCTGCTCTTTTGTTTATTTTATACTGCATACACTTATTTCTATGCTGATAAAGAAATGTTACAAGAGTGTGCAAATGCAAATGACTCTTTGACATTTACTGCCAACATTTGACTGTGCATATTGCAAACAAGCCTGTACCTGCTGAAGTGTGCCGTGTTTGCACACTTAATACTGGGATTTCAAAAGGTAAACACAGAGATCAACGGAAGGATTACCAGCTCTATTTACTCTGGGCTCAAAGTCTGTGACTTCTTACATTTCAAAGATAACGCACTTCAAATCCCACTGCTTCACGTTTAACCTGTCTGCACACACAGACACAGAAGCTGATACAGCTCCTCTAAACATGCAGACGGAGAAATTATTTTCTGAACAGACGTAAAAAGTTTTACCAAAAATAATGCCTTGGACATGGAAACCACTCAACTGTGCCTGAGTTTGAGTGTTTAAAACAGATTTAATGTTTTGTTTTCGAAATAAAATTGGGGCATTTTAGCTTGAGGGATGTTGCTTTATAGCAGGGCTATTCAATTAGTTTGCAATGGGGGCCGGTTGAAGAAAATGATCCAAAGCAAGGGGCCGGGAAAGAGATGGCTTGAAATATGAGCAATCATATTAAGAGCTTCAGATACAGTAAATACTCCAACAGCACAGTGGAGTGCATATATTGTGTTTAATTCAATCAGACAACATAGCCCAAGGCCTTCATAGATCTAAATGGCTCAGAACTCAGTAGGCCTACATGTGAAGCTCATTTAACCATCAACATCATTTCATTTGATTTAATTTAGGTGAAATTATCTAATCATTCAAACAGAGATGCAATAAATGACAGGAGTTGTCACTACAGAAGCTAGTAGGTGGGTTCGTAACCCGAGCCCGCCGAAGTTTTCAGGCAATGTCTTCCCCTCGATCTCTCAATGTAACACCCTCTCTGGAATAAAGGCACTTTTTAAAAATCTTTAAAAAAAAAGTAGATTACTTTTTAACATTATACTCAAAGGGCCAGTAAATATCACCCCGGGGCCGGATTTGGCCCGCGGGCCGCCAATTGAATAGCCCTGCATTATAGTGTGAAAAATAAACTGAGGAATCAAATGCAGGTGCTGCAAATGAAGAAATAGTTGCCGCGATGAAAATAGTCAAATAGTTAAAATACCTTTGAACAGAGGCAGGCTAACTCTGCTAGAGGCTGTCCAATGTTAACAACAGTTTGAGGGATGATGCATTATTAAACTCTGAGAAGAAATAGTTACAATGAGTGCACTTGAATTAAAATCAATCCTTGTGTTTTCCTCTTGTAAAACACAGATGTGATTGAGCGATAAGGCGTAATCTGATTGGAGTAATTAAAGTTCTTTAAATGAATATTGAGGTTTTAAACTCAGACGTAATATTTCAGAGACCATGTGGTGTCATTTAACCATTTTTGCATTATGGAGATGCTTTAATAAAAGGTCAGAATTAAAAAATGCACTTGAATAAGAACATGCATCAGTGATTGAAATGGTTCCTGATTGGCCTTAGGGGAGCCTGTAGCTTTCACAGGTGACTACAATCAACTGGTGTATGAATGATGTTCTGACTCACAGATTCAGAGGACTCAGAGTGCTCCCCCTCTGGACCAGAGTGCTGTTTCCGGATGCCTCGGGCACCCGTGGGTGGGCGTGGAGACAAGATACGGATGATCTCTTCTTCATATCTTTTAGAGCGATCCACCTTCCCAAACAAAAAACATTCATTACTATTGTTGCCATTTTGTATGCGTGGCCATACCTTGTGTGTTTATTAACCTGTTATCTGTAAATAAAAGTACAAGCTAATAATGTTTTGGGGTTTCATATTATTCAAAATAATACAAAATCTGGAAGCAAAGTGTTGTTTAAATGTTAATGATGTACTTTGATCTTATGCACCCTTTCCCTCCTTGCAAACTCCTCCAGTTTCCTTTTGATCTCTATTTGATGAACACGCTGTTTGGGAGGGGCACAGAACACATTTGAAGGGGTTATTATTATTCAAGGATAAGCACAGATTAGCTGAGTGTTTCTACTGTTTCGTCTCTGATAAAGTGTGCTGCTCCCACCTCCATCTCCAGCACCTTGTGGAAGATGGCCTGGGCCAGGCATTCTCGGACGTGTCTGTGGTGCGCTCTCTGGATCAGCTTGTGTCTGTACTCCTTGTCTGGAACAATGCGCCCACTCCTTGTGATCTGAAAACAACGATAAGCAAAGTTCAGGATACGGTTTAGGTTTTCAAAGACATTGTTGTCTAACTGAGGTCACCAAGATCTGACATTTTAGGCATACATATCTTTAAAGGCTTTAAACAGAATTTGTTTTACTTGGTTTCCTCCTTTAATAATACGTTTTCTCATGTTTGAAGTGTGCAGGGCTTTAGAGTAGATGTGTTGTTTGTTTACTAACCTTAATAACTTAAGACTTGAAGCAAAGGTTGTGTGCTACTTTAAATCTGCCAGATATAAAATATGATTACTAGATAAAACCCCTCAATGTATCTGAGAGTAATAATAATATAATATACACGGTATGGATATCGTAAACCTCAAATCTGTAGCTCTCAGAAGTATCACATCCACCACGATCACCATCATCATCATCATCATCATCATCATCATCATCATCATCATCATCACCATCACCGTCATCATCAACCTGCTGACGTACCAGTCCTGCTCTCTGCAGGTGTCTCCTGATCCGAGTGTTGCTGAAGTATCCTGCCAGATGTCTGTCTGTGAGACTGTTGTATGCTGAAATAAGTCTGCAGAAACAACAGCAAAAAAAACACTCATTAAATGAATCCCAGACAAATAAACTGATAATAAATACAATTTCTTTTTCACTTTTGTAAAACTTTAAGTTGAGTAATGCATAGGGAGCACTGGTGGGACAAACGTCAAGCACTTTGGACACACTACTCGGTCACATGGATGAAGGGGGGAGCTAAGAGAAAGCAGGAGAAGAGATCGAGTGTTGGAGCAGGATTGGAGAATTGAGAGACTCTGAGTGTCTTTTATTTTGGGGAAGGGTCCAGAGCCTCAGAGGTGGTCTGGAAAAAGCTCTGTCCCAGAGGTTGCAAAGGTTAGACTATGGGATGTGTGGGGGGAAACTTCTGAAGCAATTGGAGTCAGGACTCAAAGAGAGACACGATGGAGAGCTGGAGCTTTGATGGCAAACACTGACGGTTTATTTGGAGCTTCGGCCGGAGAATTCACAAGACATGTCAAAGGGCCACGGTCTGACCACACGGTTGAGATGCCACACCAATTCTGAAGAACCCTCCTGTAGCTCCAGGTTTTAACTAGTTCAGAGTGTAATAATCAACATTCTTCAATAGATAGACTAAACAGCTGAGGACACTGAGTCACATGTGTTGTCGCTTATGGCTCGGGTCATCTACACCCCGAGAAGGATGTGTTCCAGGTGTCCCACAACAATAACTTTCTCTGACAGAGAGTTGCCCGGTCATAAACTGGTAACATCAACAAAATGCTAGGGCAGCCCCTCCTTATGGGAGATAACGGCTGCTCTAGGCTGGGCATCTGCGTCAGAGGGCGAAGGATGACATGCAGGGGAAATGATTCCCCAACAAGATAGAGAGTAGGGAGGCCAAGCTAGATCTAAGGTATCATGGGGCCTTGTTGGTGATGAGTTGTATGTCAACACCAGGATTTTTAAGTTAATGAACAGGGAGACAGGAAGCCAGTGGAGGTCTTTTAGGACTCTGAATGTCTTCCACTAGAGATCTTGATTACTGTTCACAGAAAACCAGAATCCCAATCAAATTATTTAGTGGGGCACAACACCATGCTTGTTTGTTTGTTGGTTGTTTCTTGTCAGCCCGGCCGGACTGAAAGTGTTTTTCCAACACAGATTTGATTTCCTCCAGCATTTGTGTACGAGACAAGAGGATCTCATTATAGGGTCGGTTACCGGGGTCTGATTACAAACAGGAATTAAAGGGGATGGTACACTTAACCCTGTCTGCCTCCTCTTTGTGCACCTGGCGTGTGTCTCTGGTATTCTTCAGATTCTGCTCCAGATTTCTCTTTGAGCCACAACATGGTGGTTGAACTACTACGGGTCATTATTAACATGACTTTCTCTGACCCATCGAGAAGTCTAAAGAAATGAAAAACAAAACTAAGCCTGGATTGAAATAACAAAAGTTATTAGTATTCAAGTAAATTACACTAGAAAATGACCGCAATAAAATATACTTAAACTTTGGCAGATTGACCCCTATCAGTGTATTTATTTTTCTATTGTTGCAATTCAGTTCATTTTACCTACTTCATATAATAATTAATCCATAACAATGCATGATGCATACATTTTTACAAATAGTGTATACATACAGTATATTCTGTGAAGTAACTTTAGCTGCTTCTTTTTTACTTCCAGTGGTAGTGGAGTGGAAGCATGTTACTAAAAACAAGTACCTTAATGTTTGACTTAAGTACCCTTCTTGAGTAAGTGTATACTACTTATCGACATTACACTGCTGGTAACAGTACATTTTCTTCAAAGTATATGAATACTTTTTTAACAAAATTATCTTTTCATCACTCCACCATTTTTTGCTCGTGCTTCTTATTTTCTATTTAAGTTGTGTTCAATGTCATTTGTTGTTCACAGTTATGTACTCTGATACAACTGCTATTTCAACCGTTTTTTTAAAGGATTTACTAGCTTTTAGTGGACTTAAAGTGCAATAGAGCCTAGTCTAAATATTGGTCTTACCTAAAAGTAGTAGCTTGTTTTTAAATATGTCACTCTCATACAATTGTTTATTAGAGCAGCATAATGCGGTTTGTGATGCAACGTTAAACATTAGGCTAGCATTAGCATAGTTTGAGTGTCAATTAAAAGTATTTAATTCTGCCTCTTTAATGACTATATTACTGGATATTTGAACCTCGTAACATATTTTTAATAATAAGCTATTATAATTATTTTAGGTAAATACAACATAAAAAACCATATTAAGTAAAACAAAGTTGCACAAACATGCTACTCCCTAATATTTAATATTAAACAGTAAATTGCACACTTACCCTGGGTTGAGGTGACTCATGGTTTTTCAGCTCGCCCTCTTTTAAAAACCCTCCCACAATTATATTTGAGATAAGAGGGGCCGTTGTCTTCACCGTAAGGCCAGTGTTAAGTAAAATTAAGCCGGCATAAGAGTTCTAAAGTGCGGCTGTTTTATTTGAGAGGAGTCGGTCTGCACTCAGAGCGGAACTGTGACACTCAGCGGTTGCTATCATGGTTGCTATGGGACATCACGTGATGGTGCTGCTGCCAATGAGGATCCACTTACAGAGTCCAACACACTATTACACATGTATTTTAACATTTACACATTCACTTGGTTTTCGACTCTATTATATGTTGTTTACAAGTTATCATAATATAAAAACTGTGAAGGTTTAAACATATTTTGAACAAGAAACAAATAACTATGAATGTATAGTACACTTCTACTTTGACGTGGCCGTACATTTGACCTCCATAGGCTAAAGGAAGTTGTATGTGAGTTAAAAATATATTAAAACTATTAAAGTTTTAGATACTGTAAGCAATTCTAGAACCCTGAAGGCAGGAGAGACTGAAAAGAGTCAAGGGAAGCTTATAAAAGTTAACAGCATTTAATTACACAAAAGATGCGGTGGTGTACAAAATGAAATGTGCGAGTGGAGGCGCTCTCCACATCCAACGACCGGTCAGGGGGGTGGAAGAGGGTTATGGCTAGAAAGGATCCGTCTTGTGTAAAACTCTCGCGAGAGTTTGGCTGAATGTCACGTGGCTGAATGTTTACGTTTGGCAGCAGCCTTTCAGTTACGATCGTTAACATCAGTGGGCCACAGCAAAGGATGATGAGAAGCTAAACTATCTATTAATTATGTCAATTACAAGGAGTGTGATTGTTGAAATAGGGTGTTAGCGGTCTTGCTGGTGTTCAAAGAAGAATGACAACACTGTAGATCACCAACACTATGGTTTATTTTTTATTCACAGGCAACGTTGTCGCAGTAAAAGTCCCAAGATAGCTCCTGGTGCAATAACATTTTCCCTTTCAGTGTTTTACTATTATCCTGCTGCATTAATGTGTATGTTGCATCATGTTACTGCTGTAGATGTGTTTCAGAGCCGCTCCAACGAGAGTTACAACGAGAACGTGACGTCATATTTACACAAACGGATCCTTTCTAGCCATAACCCAATTCTTGGCTTGCTCTTCCTGTTGTCATCTGAGGTCTTCTCCTATTGGCCGGCGTCGTCGGGGGGGCGGGTCCAATGCAATTCCTGCCTTTTTCTGTAGCTAAATTACATCATTCTGGTGTCTGTGGTTATTTAAACATTCCCTGCTGCACATTATTCAGTGTCAATAAATGAGTGCTAATCCCAGTGTGCTCAGTGTACAACATCACATGTCATTTCACCTTGGTTCAAGGTTTGAAATCGTATGATTCCGCCAGATGCTAAATACTAACCGGAAGTGACGAATTTTCAGAATAAAAGTGTTAAGCTAATAGTGAGAACTTCCGGTTTTTCAGAATAAAACTGATTTAAATCAAATAGTGTATTTAATTCAAATTACGCCATATCAACATTGATTTTTAATTTCTAACACTAGCCAGTGCAGTGGACAGACGCAACGTGGAGAGGAGGGTTCGGTGGAGAGA